CCAGCCCAGGAACATCCTGGGGAATCTTTTCTGCACCCTGTAAAGATTGTACCTTTTTATTTTCTGTATTTTTAATTTGGACAGAAATGGGAAAGAAAAGTTTTAAAAACTAAGGCATGTGGAAGGTTTTGCTGTATGTTTTAGGGCCAAATTACTCACTCTAGGTGTTGTTTACACGGCTGCCTGTTGAACCAATCGGGGTAGGGGTGGGTAGAGATTACTGAGAATGAGCTGGAGCTGGAAGAGGTGTGTGAAGGAAGGTTTGGCAGGGAACAGGTAGCTGATTGGTCTGTGGGGTGGTGACCAGATGCCACTGGCAAAGGCTTGTTGCCTGACAATCATAGAATCCCTATAGTGTAGAAACAGCCCATTTCGCCCAAAAAAAAGGCACTTGAACAGCCTGTGGTCCTGAACAATTGAGACAGAAGCCTTCTAAAAAGGGATATGTTGTCACACGCCCCCAACACCCTCCCTACCCTTCTCTCTCTGCTATAAAAAAAACTTCAACCTGGAAGAAAACCATTGATTTTCCTTCATCAGTTACTTTTAACCAATAGGTGAGAGATTTTACAACTGGGATCCAGTCACCCTGCAGCAATTGGAAGGATCTAGAAGATCAAGCAGTAGCAAGTTCTAACAGACCAAAAGGAACATCTCAGCAAACCATTGCATAGCCTTCTCCAGTTTTTAAGGGTGTTTGACAGACCCTCCAGCACTCCTTCAGTGATCCCCTGGCTTGGTGATAATGGGAGGGTAGGGGATATGTCTGGCTACAGACTGCAGATTGTGTTGGAGTACTGTTCTGCTGCTGCTAGTGGGTCAGGATTTATCCAGGAACAGTGATGGTGGGGATCGGTACATTGTCTGTAAGGTGTGATTGCATGAGAATGACTAAGTCAGACTGTTGCTTGATGGTTCTCTGAGACAGTTCTTCTAATTTCAGCACTTGTGAGAACTTTGCAAGGAGGAAGCAAGAACTGCAGATGCTGGATATAGAGTCAATAGAGTGTGGAAGTGGAGGAACACAGCTGGTCAGGCAGCAGCAGAGGAGCAGGAAAGCTGACGTTTCAGGTTTACACCCTTCATGAAGGACTTTGCAGGGACTGTTTAGGCTATTGTCATTTCCAGTGCTGAGGTCAGCACCAGATGTTACATCCATTTTCACTGCTTCCTTCAGCCTTTTCTGTCAGTTGATGCAATAGAGTGAGGTGCTGGGCCTTTTCAGAGGGCAGTTAACAGTCAACCACAGTGCTGTGGGTCTGGAGTCACATTCAGGGCAGATCCAGCAAATTCCCTTCCTTGAAGGAGTTTAGCTAATTCAATGGGTTTTTAAATGATAATCTTAGACGCATAGAAGATAGGAGCAGGAGGCGGCTATTCAGCCCTTCTAGCCTGTTCCACCATTCATCACAATCATGGTTGACTGTCCAACTCAATAGCCGACTCCTACTTTCTCCCCATAACTATGGATCCCATTCTCCCCAAGTGCTGTATCTAGTCACCTCTTGAATACATTCAATGTTTTGGCATCAACTACCTCCTGTGGTAATGAATTCCACAGGCTCACCACTCTCTGGGTGAAGAAATGTCTCCTCATCTCCATCTTAAATCGTCTATCCTGAATCCTCACACTGTGACCCCTGGCTCTGGACACACCCACCATTGGGAACATCTCCCTACTTCTACCATGTCCAGTCCTGTTAGAATTCTAAGTCTCTATGAGATCCCCCCCTCATTTGTCTGAACTCCAGCAAAAACAATCCTAAACTAGTCAATCTCTCCTCATACTTCAGACCCGCCATCCCTGGAATCAGCCTGGTAAAACTTTGCTGCACTCCCTCGAGAGCAAGAGCATCCTTTCTCAGAAAAGGAGACCAAAATTGAAAACAATACTCCAGGTGTGGTCTCACCAAGGCCCTGTATAGCTGCAACAACACATCCCTGCTCTGTACTCGAAACCTCTCGCAATGAAGGCCAACATACCATTTACCTTCTTTACTGCCTGCTGCACCTGCATGCTTATCTTCAGCAACTGGTGCACAAGAACACCCAGGTCCCACTGCACACTCCGCTCTCCCAATTTACAGCCATTCAGGTAGTAACCTGCCCTCTTGTTTTTGCTTCCAAAGTGAATAACCTCACATTTATCCAAATTATACTGCATCTGCCATTGATTTGCCCACTCACCTAACCAAGACGGTGGCTCAGTGGTTAGCACGGCTGCCTCATGGCACCAGGGACCCAGGTTCGATTCCACCCTCAGGCGACTGACTGTGTGGAGTTTGCACATTCTCCCCGTGTCGGCGTGGGTTTCTTCCCAGTCCAAAAATGTGCAGGTTAGGTGGATTGGCTGTGCTAAATTATCCATAGTATTCAGGGATGTGTAGATTAGGGGTCATCCATAGTATTCAGGGATGGGTCTAGGTGGGAGGGTCGGTGTGGACTTGTTGGGCCAAAGGGATTCTATGAAATCATGCTAAAGGATCTCTGCATCCTCACCCTTCCACTGAACTTGGTACCATCTACAAACTTTGAGATGTTACATTTTGTTCCCTCATCCAAATAAATATATATTGTGAATAGCTGGGGTCCCAGCACCGATCCCTGTCACACCTCACTTGTTACTGCCTGCCAGTTTGAAAAGGACCCATTAATTCCTACTCTTTGTTTTCTCTCTGCCAATCAGTTTCCTGTCCATCTCAATACACCTCCCCCAATCCCATGCACTTTAATCTTGTACATTAGTCTCTTATGTGGGGCTTCCCCAAATGCTTTCTGAACATCCAAATATACTACATCAACTGGCTCTGCGTTGTCAACTCCACTGGTTACATTTTCATGGAAATCCAACTGATTTGTCAAGCATGATTTCCCCTTCATAAATCCATGCTGACTCTGCCACTGATTTCTAAATGCTCCGCTATAAAATCCTTGATAACGGCTTTGAGTATTTTCCCCACGACCGATGTTAGGCTGACTAATCTATAATTCCGTGTTTTCATTCGACCTCCCTTTTTGAATATTGGAGTGACATTAGCTACCCTCCAATCTGCAGGGACTGTTCCAGAGTCTTATAGAATCTTGGAAAGTGACCATCAAAGGATCCATTATTTCCAGAGCTACTTCCTGAAGTACTCTGGGATGTAGCTTATCAAGCCCTGGGGATTTATCAGTCTTCAATCCCAACAATTTTTCCAGCACCATTTCTCCATTAATATTGATCTCCCTCAGTTCTTCCCTCTCACTAAATCTTGCATCCTCCAACAATTCTGGTATCTGACTTACGTCCTCTTTTGTGAAGACAGAGCCAAAGTATGTATGGAGTTCCTCAGCCATTTCTTTGTCC